CATCATTTAAGGTAAGTCCTTACATTAGCACTGTGGAAGGGGGGAACGTTAGCCTTTAAAGGATAATTAAAGCCTCCGTTTTTTTTTGCATATATCTACTGCTAGCAAGCAGTAGATATATGCAAAAAGTGTAAAAAAAACCAACAAAAAACCCCGCTTTGAAAAGGGTTAATACTTACCTGTGTCTTCCCCGCGCGCTCCCGTCTAAAAATGTGAAAATTCTCGGGTGGCCGCAAAGCATCTTGGGACGGGTGTATGCGCAGTTAACATTTTCGGCCGGGACGCGAGGAGAGACACAAGGTTAGTCTATGGACGCGTGCACCCGCATGCAGACACATGTGGGACAGGAAGTGCCAGCAAGCTCAGAGGAGTCAGCGCTGGATCGGAGACCAGCCGCAGCGCTGGAGGGACAGATGAAAAGGATAAGAAAGAAGATGATCGGATTAGAAAACATAATTTAAGGTAAGTGCTGACATTTACATTGGGGGGAGGGAAAAACATTTTGACTTTGTCACTTTAAACACTAGATTTAAGTTACAGTTAAAAGGCATATATACTGTAGGATCTTTTATACCTGTCAAAAAGATTTTTATTTCAGTCCAGCCTTTCATGAGATGTATTTGTTGCTGGCAGACCACAAAGGAATGTTGGTGACCTTTCTTTTCTCTCTGCAGTTAAACAGCACAGCTTGGTCACCTTCACGCCTCCAGTCTGTTATTGGACAGTGAATGAGAAGTGGCACACTTATGAGTTCATCCCTCTGCTCTATACTTCTGTCAGTATTTTCCTTGTTGACACATGTCGATTTATCACACCCAAATGACAGCTTGTGCTGCCTCTTTCTGTCGTAGATGATGAGTCTACTGTAGAGGATATTACAAGAGGCTGATACAAAGTCTAGTTAAGATGCTTTAACTAGTTGCATTTCAAATACATTCAATGTTGTTGTTTTTTTTCTTTTTTTTTAAAATACCCACATTACTTTTATTTTTTTAAAGGAAGCCTGTACTTTTCCCATGCAGGACAAAGCAACAGATTCACTTAGTCCTCCGCCACAGCATATATTTAACTTCCTTTAACTCCCCTGATGCTCATTTCAGCCACTTGGAGTGATGGAATGTCCTGTAAAAGCTATGAGTTGCTGGATTTGTTGCTTTGACAGGGCTTTGAACATGATTGGCTTGGTGCTGTCATATAGAGTCAAATACTCCTCCATTCCTGGAAGTACTGGATATTTGCTTCATTTTGTAATGCTGAATGTAGGAGGGAGGGGTGAAGAGAGTATATGCTGGGTAGGTGTTGGGGAATAAAGAGGACTTGTTGCTTTGCCGTAATTGAGCAAAGCGCAGGTTTCCTTTAATCTTGTTCTTTTGTTTTTGTTTTCAATACTTCGTGCATGTCATACACTACTATTTTACAATAGATGTAAATGCCACTAATAATATTGTAGTCAATGTGCTACCAAACGTTATCGGTACAATGTGGCATCCACGTATTAAAAAACATATTTAAGTATAGACCAAGCCAAAAGTTTTTCGTAGTTTTGGATAGAGTGGGGAAGGGTTAGTACCTCTGTCAGGCTTTACTGCTATCCAGAGCTCTATCAGAGAGTCCTGTCCTGAGGAAAATGTTTTACCAGATATTAAGTAAGGGGAACCCTCAAACAGCAACATGGACAGAAAAAAACTAACTTTCTTATCTTCTGCTAAAGCTGTTGTCAGTGGACAGGAAGTAAGGGAAACTGTCTTTTCAAATCAGGAGTTAATGGAGAACTAGGGGGTGAGTGAATTACACTCATCCTCCTAGATAGAGCCAACCTGTCACACATCGGCTCTATTGATCGGGAAGTGACTGAACACATACCGCCACTCGCTCACTTCCCGATCATCTCCCTGCAGATAGCGGTGACTGTCAATCACCTCTCCTCACAGGGATTCTCCCCCCCCCCTCTCCGATCCTCCAGCGCTGACTGGAGGGATTGACAGGAGAGGGGGCGGGCACAGCTGGCTCTGCCACTAGATAGGCAGAGCCAGCTGTCAATCAGCCAGCAGGGTGGATCTCTACAGTATTGTTGGGATCTGCCCCGTCTGCGGTGCTCTCAGCATATAGCAGGCAATGGCCCGCTATATACTGAGTTTTATTAACATTCTCCCATGACCCTAAAGAGAACTATGGGTGAAAAAAAAGGTTACCCCTTAGTTCTCTTTTAAATCTTAAAAATATTTAAGTATCCTAGCTATTAATAAAAATGTAGCTTATTTGTGCATCACTCAGCTCTAGATCCTCAAATCATCTCTGAATGACGGGAGTGAGCTTGGAGCGGGGCTACTTTACAACACCCACAAGGACCAAGGAGAACAAAAGTAGCCACCCTCCAGAAGGAAGGACAGTGTCATCATGAATTCTGAGATGATTTGAGGATCTACAGCCGGGTGATGCACAAATAAGCAACAGTATTGTTAATAATTAAGGTACTAGAACTCCTTTTTAAGATTTAACATCTGAGTTAAGTGTCACTTAAACCAAGACCCCGTGAGCAGTAAAAACCGCACAGGGCTTTTTAACCTTCACTACCGTGTCATAGACATAGTTACACTTTCAACTGGATGGCAAAAGTGAGTCTAGAATAGATAAGTTGTATTTATGGGAAATTTGAGCATAAGAGAAAAAAAAGCTGGCCATTGTTGTCCTCTGCTGAAGTTTGCCTGGATGCCAAACTGAACCAATGTTTTCAATACTTTGAGTTGCTGACCTAGAATGAATAAATAACCCGAGTTCTGGTTTCACTCTGACCTCTCTTGCTTCATTCTTGCCCCGGGTTAGTCACTCAAAGTATTAAAGCCAGAAACAGCCAAGCAACTAACATACACTGTCAGAGGATGGTCAATAATTGCAACCGCCACATTTTTGTTTTCTCATAGGGTTTTCAAATACCAGTTATTAGGCCCAATAGGGTTCCAATCAAATACCAGTTATTAGGCCCAATAGACAATTTTTGACCAAATCTGCTGATAAATGGGACATGCTTGAATATGAAACATGATGTATGCATCCCCCAGAAGACCACTGCTCTTCTACCCATTGCATTCTGGACACGACTCTGCTGGGGTACCACCTGTCAACATTAGACCAACTGGTCATCTTTTTTGCATGACCTAATCTAGATCAATCTGCACCTAAACCTATTTAGTGTTTGATGTACATAGTATGTCTCTATGTATGCGGGAGCCACAGATCAGATTGCTGGACATGCAACACGACTGTTGATATTTTTCATGATAGTTTATCCGCAGTCTAAGTGGATCTGTAATACCTTCTGTACAGATGCATGCTGTGTGCAAAATAATGTTAAAAATAATGAGTTATTATATACAATTTAAATTAAAGAAAGTATATATTCTATTTTACTAAATATTTGCATAAGCAATGTATACATTTTGTAGTTGAACTTCACTACTTTTCTAAATTTAGATTCATCAAAGGATTAATAAATGGCATTTGCTTCTCCAACTCCCACCCGTGCTGCAGCAGCAAGACCTGCCTGGAGCCACTAACTACATCCTAATACATATGTTTCAATGACGAGCAGTTTATAAGCAGTGTGTGGAATGTTTAGGAAAAGCAGCTGTGGACATTGAGGATTAGTTCATCTGTAAATCGGAGCATCCATCCTGTTTAAGCATTTATCGCTGTCCCCATTGCATTGAACATATTTTGATTTTCACTATCGCAGAGCAACAATCCATCATTTCCCCTTGCAATGCAAGTGCCTCGAAAGTAACATGTGTGATTTCACTCTGCTGCAGAGACAAAGCGACAGTTTCCAGACTATTTGTTGCTAGATCAAGCAGCTGTGTACATTCTTCTTAGTTTGGGTCATGTCTCAGAATATTTTCCGCAAGAGCAGGCATTGCTACCTTGCTAGCCATGTCTTTCATCCTAAGAGGCCTGGCATAGAGTTCTCATTTCATAAACATTTATTCTTATTGCTTTTTTTACAACTGTTCCTCGTCTGTGGTCAAGGCTGGGTTGATAGAAGTGACTTGATGTACTGTACTGCCATTAGCCATACCTATCTCATACCCTGACTCGTGATTTGAGCTGTAGGCCTGGTTTATTTACTGTAAGGATAGAACTCACAATTTGTTTAGTGTTTTATGGCCTCAAGGCAATTGTAGTGACCTTAAACCGTTGAAACTTAACTTAATACACTGTAGAAGAATGGCATCCAATCAAGCTTCTTTACATTTTTTTTCTGTATCCTTCATCAACCTGTAAGAAGTCAACTGTTACCAGTATTTTTAAAAGGGACGCTGTCGATGGCAAAGAAAACAGCATTGTAAAATTAAATTGAAATACTTACCATTAGCATGTAGATTGACTCAAATCTTCGCTCCCTTGCACAGTGGGTAGCGTGTCCCTTTAGAGCTGCAGTAGTGTTGTAGTGTCCAGGGGAGCAGTAGACAGACATATGTTGGATGCTGACTATCCCACTGGCGAGTCTTGCTCTGGGAGAAGATTGAAGTAAGCCTACATCCTGATGGTAAGTATTTTACAATGCTGTTTTTTTATCCTTTTTTTATGTTGGTCGTGACAGTGTCTCTAAGACTACTGAAAGCTAGGTTTCAGCTGACTGATTTGTTGTACTGCATACTATTTTATTATACAGTATTTATCAGTAAACCTTGCTGTCTTTACAGACCTATACCAATTAAAATAGAATGCCAGCCAACTGTTTTTTTTCTAGCTTTGGATTGAGTGGGAAAGGATCTCTGTCAGATCTGTCTCTGTTGGAGACATCCACCCTCACAATTTTTTTATTGCATGTCTCAAACCCATATATATGACAAATAGTGGCATTGCCAGGTATCATTGGCAGTATTTGGAGTGCCTCGGTTTTCTGACTACTGCCAATATCATCATAATAGGCTGTAACAAAAATAGTCTGTAACTCTGTAATGTATTAGTGTGTAATCATTATTTTCTTTTGGCAATTTTAGGAAGGCAGCTGAGAGAAAGTTCTCCATGAATGTACGTCACAATGATGATGACCGACCAAATCCCAGTGGAACTGCCACCCTTACTGAATGGGGAGGTAGCCATGATGCCACATATCGTAAATGGAGATGGGTCACAGCAGGTTTGTAATGTTGATTGCAATTTACATATTAACATTGCTAGAAGAGGGAAGTCAACTTATGTCACCTAAATCAGTATTGCTTTAACTTATTTGTTCTCTCCTGTCACCAAAAGGGTTATGCCATTTAAGTGTATGGCAGGGTAAAATAATGAAAAAATGCAGTACATGTGTAATATGTGCACATTTTTTTGTAATCCATTGTAAGACCTTTCCAGTACAGGAAAATACCTGTTGATCTGCAAGAAATACACTCTGCTCCTAATACCTGGCATGGGCTAATAACACACAGCATTGTAACACACAGTGTGCGCTAAGTGTTGTCAGCCCAGCTCAGTTTTCTTTTGCTAAACTACTCAGACCGATCTACTCTCTTATCTCCCCAACATAATGGCTAATCATCCTGTAGTTCCAAGATTAGAACTGGGAAGGGTTAGTTACTTTCCTTGAGATTACACAGGAAGTGAGCACTGGAAACAGGGCTGCTTTGAATTTCTGACATAAACAACGGGTATATTTTTTTGTACTTAGCCAACAGATATAACTAAATGCTTTTAAATGGTACCAAAGGGGAGCAAGTAAGAGAAATGTATTAGGGTTTACACTTTATCTATTTTAATTAAAATTACATTTAAATACAGCAAGATGAAATGTATATTGGAAATCAGTGTTATAAATTCCGACTCCAGACAAAAGTTTGCAAAGACTGTGAAAAGCTTAGAACTAGAGGTGCACCGAAATGGAAATTTTAAAACCGAAATAAAAAAAATTGTCAGGTCGAAACTGATACCGAAATATTTTTTATTTTCATTTTTTCAAATATTTTATTTTCATTTTTTCAAATATTTTATTTTCATTTTTTTATAAACTTTTTAATTTTTATATTCGCTGAGTGTGTGTACCTTGCTCTCCTCTCTGACACACTGTCACAGGAGGCTGAGCGAGCGGTGTAGGAAGGAGAGCTCAGCCTCCTGTGACAGCGCGGCCTGTCTCCGCCCACACACTGCTCTGCCGGTGTGGGAGGAGACGCCGGCCGCTCACAGCGCTCTCCTCCTGCAGCGCTCGGCCGGCTATCACAGTTTCTCTCCTTCCCGCTGGAACGCAGAGCAGCGCCCAGCGGGGAGGAAAGAAAGCATGGATGCGCCGATGTATCGGCAGGAAAATTGCACTTTCGGCATTATGCCAAAAGTAGCATTTTCGGCCGATATGTTTCGACTGCCGATATATCAGTGCATCCCTACTTAGAACTTCTGTCAGGGTTTTATTGCTGTCTGAGATTCCCCCTCACTTTATATCATGGTGACACCCTTTAATACCTTGACATACAGGGACAGGAAGGGCAAATCTCTCCCAAAAGGTCACAGGCAGCTAAAAAAACTTGACAAATGTTATAACTGTTCCCCATTCTACCACAAAAATTTGCTTTTTACTGTTATTTGTGCCTCCATGAAGGATATTTCCCACCATGACCTTTCCTGGTGAGAGACAATATCCTCAACAGAGTCACCAGGGGCAGCAGTAAAACCCTAACAGGGGTTCTAGCCCTTTTCCCCCCTGTTTTGTATGAAACTGGGCTTTAAATTACCATTTCATGTAAAATACAGAAGCACTCAACACACACACACACACACACACACACACACACAACTTCCCATTCCTTTAAAAGAACATGATATCTGACATGGTTCATAGTAAATTTCCCCTGAGCATGGCAGCTACTTACTTATCAGTGATTTGCCTCCAAAAAATAGCTGCCATGTCAATGTCTTACAAAAATATTGTTGTGTATAGTAAAACCATATAATAAGAGCTAGTCACACTTGGAATATTCCTAGAGATGAATATTAGGCCAGCTTCACACCAATGTGCCATTCATTTGAAATTGCACCCCAATATACCTGTGTATAGCACCCCTGATGTACCTGTATTGCAGCACACCACAACACACAGTACCAGAGCTGCACAATGCTTTAAAGGTTATCTGTATGAAAGGAATGAGGAAAACACAGCTTTGGTTATATATACAGTTTAAATTATTATTTTAACTATGCAAGCTTATTTATAATATGTATATTTGAGGCATTATATAGCTTCATTTTTCTGAGTCTGACTCTTCATCTTGAGTACTGATGAGCCTGGGCTTGGTACAAACACAGTTTGCCTGGGTTCATCCAAGCCTGCTCAGAACTGTGACAGCCAACCCCTCCGCCCAGGCCCAGTGGTGGCAAGGGGCATTTCCCTACCTGCAGCTATACATTACAAAGGAGCAGGGAATG